TGCATCTAGTGCATCGCTTTTACTCGATGCATCTAGATAACTAGATTTTTTTTACTCATTTATCTAGATGCTCCTGCTGGAGCATCGCTAGATGCACCAGCGAATGCATCTAGATATTTTTGCTGGGAAGGTTTTGCTTGGGAGTATGACTTCGTTGGAAAAGTTCACATAGAAGAACAATTAAGAAAACTTCTCAAAAGCCTTGTTTTGCGTAAAAGATTATGCAATATCGTCGCACCTGAATGAGTGATACAGGGATATCGTGCGTTCTCTTTGAATAAATGATACTAAACGTAGTGATTGATCTATGTCCAAATAGAGCCTTAGCGTACAGTGTATCTTCTTTATCTCATGTAGGATAAGATACGCACATATTCGATCTAAGAAGAACATGCGCAGAAAGAAAAGAAAAACTTTTCATCAAATGAACGGAAAGAGAAGCAAAGAGAATCGCATGTCCTCTTTGCTTTCTGGATGTGTCCTTATGTCCGTCCACATACAGATTTCGGTATGCGACATTAAAAAGAAGAAGATAATGTGCTATACGATAAGGCTCTATTGTATTTTATTGCAGTTCTTTATTCTTTTTCATGTTTTTTTAACGTTCATTTTCCACGACTTTAACGTTTTATATGCCACGACTCTAACGAGAATGTTCGGAAGTCCGGGAATCTGCCTAAAGTCTATATGTGCACGAGAGTATACCTTTTCCCTCTCTACTAGCAATACCAACCATTAAAAATCTCCGTGTGTGTGACCATTTTCTGAATAATTTTTGATAGGAATGAGGTAAAGACCTGCGGTTTTCGCCATTCAAAAGAAAAGACCTGGAGGCATGTTTCTATAACAATATTACTTTCGGGAAAGTTTTCTGAAACAGGTTTTCCAGAAGATCTTTAGAAAGCCAGACCGTCCTGTAAGCCTGTAAACAGTTTCCAGTTGGGTTGTTTTGCTGTTACCCCATGGGCTGATAGCTCGAAGTTTCCTCTCCCAAATGGCAGTAAAGTGAGACCTTGATTTTGCGCGGTTCGGACGTTGTATCGGATTTCCTGCGAATCCAAGGAGTGGCACCCGGTGACTATTGGTAACCTTAAAGACTGATGGATTATGGATAATCAACCATACTGAGTCTCGTGGCAATATTTATTTTAGAAAAAGTTTTAAAAGTCTGCCGGAAAGCCAGTTTTACGAAAAGCAAGGTTTCCAAGCTGTTTTCACCTAATAGTAAAAAATTCACCGTTCACTCAAAAAGCATCAGAACAAGCTCAAGCCCTCAGGATATGATTAATGTTGTCCCCTAAATGTCATTATAAGATAAAAGAATCTAAAAGCATATTTTGTTAATAGATTTTCCAGAAACCCTTTTGAGATCAAAATAAAAAAAGTACTGAGCTCGATAAAGCTTGTAAAAAAAGACAGATAAAGGTAAACTTTCACCAAGCTTTACCGGTCGAACGTACTGCCATTACACTACCAGGCTGTCTTGTTCCATCTTAGGATCCCACGTGGATCCCATCCTAACACTCAAAGTCAAGTGAACAGTCTCTATTTCCTTTAAAATAGCAAAAACTTGAACTCTCCTGACAAGGAGAGAGTTTTGAAATTTTCGCATCCTTCAAGTACTTTAATATTTTCTACCTCAAAAACATCTTTTGAATCAACTCGATGTGCTCTATCCAACTATGTGAGGTGCCAATAATTCGAAACTAAAGTAAAAAAGTTTTTTAGAGATATTTCTACATGTCTGTATAGAGCTCGTCCAACCAAAGCAATTTTTTAATGTTTAAAAAATTGCTTTTTCACGTCGAAAACCTGAAAATAGTTAATGGATCTAAAGGACGGGACCGCATAAGGTTTGAAATCTGCATGTCTGCATGTTATTTCTGCATGTTCCCGATACGCTGGCGATTTAACTATATTTCTGTTCGCAAGAGCAAAGTCTGAACTTCAAAGAACATAGAAAACAAAATATTTTGTAATTGAGTTTGAGTGAGAAGAAATCAAAATACGAAACGACGCCCAAAAAAACTCTTGCAACTTCCACTCTCTTGAAATGTATCGCTATCTTCAAAAGTACTGTTTCACTATAGCAGAATAATCTTGAAATTATATAATTATAGAAAATAGAAATGTTTTCATTGTTCTTTTGAATCGGATGTGATAAATTATTTTACGATCTACTTTTCAATTAGAAATTCGTGAGTTTTTCAATTGTTTTGGAAAAAGCGTTGATTAGGCTTAATTAATAATTTTCATATACTAAATGAATTTTGTCCTTTTGCTAAAACACATTTTCTAAAACAGCATTTAATTCCGTGCAAAGTTACGTTAGTTTTAATTTTTACTGACACATCTTGAGTCCTAAATAACAAATTTTCTTAATGTTGTACCTTTCTCATGAAACGTACAGTTTTCTACCAAATCTGACGTTTGTAATACGTATTTATTACTATTAAGAAATTAATGAGAAATTCTCGACAGTAGATGGATTATTACAGTTTTGCAACGACGACATTCTCATCTATTTAGTTTTCAAAAAGGGTTTTCTCCTCAGATTGTAGTGAAAAATTAAAGAAAAAAGTGCTTTGTAAGAGCATTTTAGGCGATGTTTCATATTTATATTTTTTCTCACTCAAACTCAATTATTCCAAAAAATTTTGTTTTCTATGTTTTTTGAAGCTCAGACTTTGCCCTTTCTAACGGAAAAACAATTAAATCCCCAGCACATCAGGAACATGCAGAAATAATGCTCGAAATTTTTTCCATTCCTTCCGGAGCGTATCATATTGGTGCCAAGTGGAGTATATACCGAAGGCAAATGTTATTAGGTTACACACATCAAACGACGAAAAAGAAGTGGTTATGAACAAGATCGAAACTCAAATGAATACACAACAAATTGATTTGAATGAGGATAAATAAAGACAATATTCTGAAACCGATGATGACGGAGATGAAGTATATCAGCTATATAGAAAAAACATTTTAACAATTCGGATATTGGTCGAAACACCGGTTAAATATTCTGTTGAGGAAACTGAGATTATCTTCTTTTTCGTTATTACGTAATTCATATAACAAAGTGTTACTAGATTTTTTTTCATTCTATGTTATTCTTCTATGGTACGCCTAATATTATTGTATATAGTATCGTGCTCTGTCTCACTTCTAATAGAATTGAATGAAAACTGCTAAACATCATGTTGCACTGCTCAGCACTATATCATCTAGCCGAGCACCATGCTGTACTGTTGAGCTCTATGTCATCTTGCTGAGTACCATGTCATACTGCCGAGCATCAGGAAGTTTACTAATTATTTATAAATTAATTAGGTAAATTAAGGTTCGGTCCGAAATTCCTTTTAGACTGTTGCTCTGAAACTGGAGCCGCGCTTAATTAAATCCCCTAACCGTTTTTTTTCTGTTTCTTCTGTAACTTTAACATAACACGCGCGAATAAAGCCAAATTTTTAGTGTAGAGGCTTCGAAACATCCTAAATTTAATAAAGTACATAAATATCGTTTAACCCGACCAAAAAATGGTTTACTAGAAAACGGGATTCTCTACAAAACCTGTTTCTTATCTTTCACTGTTATCGAAAAAACCTAATGTATGTCTTGACAGTATTAAAAGACGTGTTTTTTTTTCTTTTGCAAAAGTGGCATGAAATTTGTTTTTGTGCTAATTTCTTATACACTTCTTTATTTGTTCTCGCAAATTATACTGTTCGTCGAGGAAACTGTTAGGATAATTTTGTATTAGTGACTGATTTTCTGATAATAGTGCATCGATACCGCTATAATTATTCATTAGATAAGCAAGATCACTTTGAAACAGCATATAGTTTAGTGCGGTGTTAAAATGTGTTGAATAGATAGATGAGTTTCACTATTAATTTCTTTGGACTTACGACTCTGTGGCATCCAACAAGATCAATTACATCGTCCATTACATGACGAAATTAATGAGAATACAAACATATTAACAGTCGTCGATAAACGAATACATATATATACTTTCAGCTGACAATCAAGCTCAGCATCAAGTAACATTTGTGTATAAGTCGCTACTTCTTGGCTTGACTGCATAATTCATACAATGCAGTGAAATTCTTACACCTTTTGTTTCAGTTTTATTTCTCTTATAGTTTTCAAATGATCGCACTTCCAGAGCTTTGTAACTCCTTCGATTGACGAGAAAGGTGGGCGGAATATTTCAGACGTTTCACCCTTACGTGATCCGTACCTCAAGAAAAAGATTTTTCCAAGACCATAACGGTCCTGAAATTGGTCTCTATAGGCAAGTGCACACTAATTATGTATAAAGCGTTCTGCAGGTTTTAAAATGCTCTATTTTTTCCAAAAATGCTTCGAAACGGTTTTGTCCGAAAAACAGATTTAGAAGAGCTAGAAAATCTATCTACACATTCAGTAAGCAATTACTTATATAAACAAATTCCAAACACTCCTGTTTGGAGTGTGGGTAATTTAGTCGATGCTGTGTGTAATTTTTTTATGCTTCCTTAAGAGATTTACTGGCTAGTCAGCAGTCATTGGTTGATTTTCTGAAATTCGTGTTATCATGGGTTTGGTGAGCTCGTATTCTTATCTTAAGGGTTTTATAACTTGGAAAGTTTACCTTAAAAAAATGAAAGCGTAGAAGCTCCCCTAGTAAAAAACTTACTCAAATCTTACTAAGATCTTAAAATAATCTTATTAAGATCTTAGTAAGATTTCGCTTACATTTGTTTAAGATCTTAGACAAATCTTACTAAGATCGTGAGACCCGAAAATTCTAAGATTTGATAAGATTTTTCTAAGATCTTAGTAAGATCTTACTAAGATTTTGACCACTTAAAGTAAGATTATTTTAAGATTGTCTAAGATTTTCTTCAGATTGTATTAAGACCTTGCCATAGCTTATCATAATTTGAGCACGTATTCGTGCAGATTTTTCTAATATCTTAACTGTACATGGAGAACCTACCTTACTTGTCTAAACATGCTGTCGTATTTGATTGAAAGAGTATTTTGTTCCACTTTGCACATGATTTGCTGATTTCGGTGCATAGTTTTTATTTTATTTTCTGCATTCAATTAAAAGCTAGTGGATTTAAATCATCATAAGAAAAAAAACATTCAATTATGCTGATACGCTTGAGCATATTCAGTTACAAGTATACAGTTTTCTACTGGTACAGAAAAACACCTATGACGTACATTCTCAATTGCACAAATTTCAAACATTGAAAAATTTAACATTGACGGTTTATCATTTTCACAAAAAAAGTATAACGAATTTAGAAATTGTTGAAAGCCAGCAACGTATTTATGAGAAGAAAAATAGGAAGTAATATGCTTTTCTACACGTTTAAGAGGTTGAATAATTGCAAAACATCTGTCATTCAGCAAAACAAAACAAACAATGTAGCCAAAATACAGCAAACTATTCTTTTGAAATGAAACCAAATAACTACAGCAATTTCCCTTACGTTTATATAAAAACGAATGATACGTTGTGTGTGCACGATGTAGCCGCGCGAAAAAAAGCAAAGAAGAACAAGGATCGAATTGAACATAGTTTTGATAGCATACATTTTTTAACAATTCGAAAGTTTCTGTGTCTGTTAAAATATTACTACCATACAATTTTTTTTCTTCACTTATAATAAAATTACCGTAACCAACTCGCTCTTTTTCATTGAGTTTTTTTAACGCAAAATTACACAAAAAACCAAAAGCTATTTGCTCCCCTGCTCCAGCGGAGCCTTTAACAAAAGATTTTAAAAAACCCAGAAAAGATTCAAAAATAAAATTTTCTAACCAATCAAGCCGTCCAAACTTGAAACACTGAGACGGCAAATGAGTATGCGTATGAGTTGTTATAGTCAGCATTTTTGCTGGTATAACACCTGAATTTCTTTTATCATTCAAATTTTCGATGTAGAGTTTAATTAATGATGAAAGAGCACGGGCTCTGTTTGGATCTTTAACCCAATTATCATGCAAAAGACGTTGTATAACAACGTACATAGCAAAATCCCCGACAACCTCCTCTGGTGCTATTGTACACAATAATGGAAGACCAATGTATAAAATAAATAGTCTTACTTCACTGGCCTTCCATTTGTGGACAGCATCGAAGCCACGTGGTCGTCTTTGTATATCGTGAATATACAAAAGATGACGAAGTTTTTGTGATACGCGATTTATATCTTCTTTTGTCATGGATGATTGAATGAGTTTCATTAATTTTTTGCCATGACACAAAAAAACCGTGTGCATGCCGTCAATTCCGATCGCATCAGGTAACGGAACATCAAGAACTTGGCGAAAAGCAGATACGCCTTTGATACCGGCTGTTTTATCTCGATTATGTGAGTGAGTGATGGCACTATCTGCGTATCGATCATATACTTTATGAGTCCGAACTTCAGCGTTCAAATCATTTGGATACGTGATGCAGTGTCCATCATGAGAATAAACACCTTTTGTTGTGCAAAACATGCAAGCAAAATAAGCATTTGGGAGTACAAAATTAACCATTTCTGATAGTGCTGGCATATCACCCAGAAGAAGCGGAAAAAGAACTTTTATATATTCGGTTTTCGAAATCTGAACACTGAACGTTTTTAATTTTAATAAATTTGGTTTAAGTTTTTCAAAAATAATATGAAAATTCGGCTTCTGTCGACCAATCCAAAGACCGAGAAGAAGTATATTCTCAGCTTTCGTCCTTGAATACGGTGGTAGTTCCACTACTGCACCGAGAATCGGCCAACCACTACAATTTTTCGAATTATATAGCGGTACACCATCGCTATGTAACATTATAGATAAAAAAAAGCTCTCATGAGTTTGTAATAAATTTCGATATATATCTCCTCCGACGATGTCAGCACTGTCAGACATACTTAAATCCCTCGCCTCCGACTGATAACGTTTTAACAATAAAATGTTTTGTTCACATAAAACTTTAACTTGGAATTCCATATCAAATTGTATAAAATTCACAGACTCATCCGATAGTAATTTTTCGTTACTATGTTTACATGATGTGTTTACACATTTTCCGCTAACTATCTTTTCAAAGCAAAAGCAACACAAACGATCATTTGAGTAAAATTTCTGAAGTCCTACACTACAAAGAATTTCAGATGTTGTGAACGGAATGTTGTTTGGTACTGGCATGTATTTGGAGACTAGTTTTAGTAACTGTTTTCTTAAGTTTTCAGGTAATCTGGATGCTTGAAAAAAGTTTAGTAATTCGATCGATAATTCACTAACACTATACTGAGTATATCCATGAACGGGACGATTATCACTATCATATTTAACATTATACAATAATTCATTTAACATTTGCTCATCTTCATCACTATCAACAGATGACGACGACGTTGAATAGCCATCAATAACTTCAATATCACTTAGTTGACCACTGTCTTCATCGTCACTGAACTGGATTGATGGTGTAAGAGAATATGCTAGCTGGTTCCAAATGACACAAAAAACCGTCATCTTAGTACAGGGTAAATAAGGGAAGAAGTATCTACCGACACTTGCTAAAAACGTTGACAAAGATCACGTCATAAATGAATACGTACTACGTCCAACGACAGTGGGTCATTTTCCACGCGTTGAGAAATTGCATGGTCACTTTGACAAGATGATGAAGAAGAAGAGCGAGAAAGAGTACTCTGAAATGAATTTCTTTTTGAGCGATAACGTATGTTTTTTTTCCGTTTTACGCTTTTCGCTTCGCTGATGGAATCTTGAGCAGATTTGGTCCTAGAAGACATCTAAAAATAAGCGAATAAACAAATAATTTTAGATGGATACTGTCTATATTCTTCAAAATAGTCACACGTCAGTTTCACTCAAATGTAGCCGGATGTTATTTTAAAAAAAGTATCTATTCAAAATAAAATCTTGCTTTTATGGCCAATCTCCAGTTACATTACACCAACATTGTTTCGGTGTCACACTTCGTATTCGACATACTATAGATTTTTTACCGAAGGTGTTC